GTAGAAATAGGCCATGATGTTGAAGGCTGTGTGATGATAGCTCTGGGTACAATAAGTGATGCTTTTGTCCTTGCAGTTGTCAGCTTACTGGGCTGATTCATTGCTCTGTAGAGTGCTTGGAGGTCATGCAGAGGATAACAGGAGTAATCTGTTACCTGCTGTTGTTTGCTTTTGGGTCCTGTGCTTCACAAATGCAGAATGGTTGAGGTTGGAAGGAACTCCTGAGATTGAGTAGTCCAACTTCCCTTCTTGATTCAGGGTGAGAAGCAGGTTACCCAGATCTGTATCCACTCCCATTTTAAATATCTGGAAATAGAGACTACATAAGATTTCTGGGAAGTTTGTTCCAATGTTCAGTCACTCTTAAAGCAAGCAAGCTTTCTCTTGTGTTTTAATGGAATTTCTGGTCTTCCAGTCCGAGGAAAGTACCTTGTTCTTGCCTGTTCTTTCATTGGATACCCTTGTCCAAATCTGTCTCCTTTCCATTCACCCATAACAGATCAACACTGCTAAGATTCTTTCTGAGCCTCGTCTTCTCTTGCTCTCTAAGCAATCCCAGCCTCCTCTTGTATGTCAGATGCTCTAGTACCTAAATCATCTCTGTGGCTGTTGGCTGGACTCACTTCTGTACCTTGTGTCTGTCTTGTGCTGGAAAGGGCTGCACTGGACATGGTCCTCCAGGAGTGTCTCTCCAGAGCTGAATAGTGAGGAAGAATCACCCCTGTGATCTGTGTTTCCCAGTGCAGCCTGGGAAACTATTGGCCTTTCTTTTCACTGGGTACACGTTTCTAGCTTAGGTTTGGTATTTAGGGCCCACAGGTTGTCTTCTTCAAAGCCACTTTCTGGCCTGTGCTCGTGCATGAGGTAGTTCCTCTTCAGAGACAGTGCTTTTTCTCTTGAATTTCATGAGGTTCCTGTTGACCCAAATTTCAAACATCTTCCAGTGGCAGCCCAGCTGTCCCATGCATCAGTTGCTTCTCCCAGTCCTGCTGGAAGCCTGTTGATAGTGCAGCCTGTCCCATGATCCAGGTCATCAATGAACACAGAAAACACTATAAAACCAGAGGTGTACCCCCAGTGACTGGCTTCCAGCTGGACTTGGTACACTGGTGATAACCCTCTAAGCCAGTACACCTCAGTCTGTGTTTCCATCAGTCAGTGATGATGGGATGGGAGAGAGTACTGGAAACATTATCAAAGTCAAGACAAGAAACATCCACTGCTCTCCTCCTTGAGCAAGCCTATCATCTCAGCACAGAAACCTGTCAGGTTAGTGAAGTATGACTCCAGTATGAGGTTCCATACATGGTGTTTCCCCATCTATCCCAAAAGGCAACTGAAGTAGTTTCTGTTACCTCACTAGAATGCTTTCAAGAATTAGATTCATAACATGTAGACTATAGTAAAGCAGACAGGGTAACCCTGACAAAAGGAAGAAATGATGCATCTGACTCAATAATATCAGAAGGCTAATTAATTACTTTATTATACTATATTACTCTATACTATATTACACCACAACTAAACTGAATCAGCACAAGCACTCAATTCCACTGTACAGAATCTTGTGACTGTGTGCTGACTGACAGTCTGGACATGTGCTTGGCCCTGATAGGCCAAGGAAACAAAGCACCATCACTTTGGGTAAACAGTTTCCATGTTGCATTCTACTTTTGCACAAATACAGAAGCAGCAAATGAGATAAGAATTGTTTCTTCTTCCTCTGAGGTTCCTCCCTGCAATTCCCAGAAAATATCCTTGGGAAGTTGTGCCTTGCTTTTCTCTGTGAAGAGAAATGCAGCCACACTAGACCACTGATAGAAATTTAATAAAGCTACTGCTAATTAACATCTAATATGTTAATTGGTTATGCTGAAGTAGATGTTGCTGATGCTGCTGCCAGGCAGCCTATATATAGCACAGGATGTACAAATGAGTATGGGTCTGTGTAATACAGTGTGTTATATAGAAGGTCTGGAGGTCAGAGTCCCAAATCTGCCACAGAGTGATGGCAGAACTGATTCCTGTCTGAATTTGCCCACAGGTGCCTCTGGTGACCCTGGAGCTATTTTTAGTATACCTGATAAATCCACCAGTTAATGTCATCTTTGTCTCCAAACTAAGAGGCTGATACTTGGTATTTCTTTTCACATGAATCTCTGAATCTCAAGCAACCCATTGCAGGAATTTGTACCACGAAGTATGAATACATTTTGTAATGAATCTGGGCTTGAGTGAGTCTGCGTTTTCCAGTCTTCTGTTGTGGTGATATAAAACACCTGCTTGGCAACAGCTCTGGGAGTTAATAAAGTTTCTGTGGTAAACTATGAGAGGCCTGAGAATCTCAAACTAAAGTTATTGCACCAGTAACTCAGAAAAGCAATTCCTAAAACTCCTGGCACATTTATCCAGAGGGTTAGCAGTAACACAGAAATGGAAATCATTGTTGAGAGCCACTGCGTACTTGGAATTAAAATCCATCAGTCTTCTGAAGCTGAGGAAAACAATTTTCATGACATACAGATGCTTTTGTACTTCATAATCAAATTTCATCTAGGGTTGGTTTTGGCTCTATTTGTAGGGAAATTTGTATCCTCTAATCCTTATAATATACCTAAGTTGAGATGACATCAGAAGAAATAACTCACACAGAAGCTAGGCATTTAAAATATTCTCAATGCTTTATTCTATTTAATTTCAGCAAAAGCAGATTTATCTCTGGGGGGAGTGGGACAGAAAAAGAGTGAGGATGCCAACATCCTCCTCTCAAGTGGGAGCCTAGAGCACAGAAGGTGGAAGATGAGATGTGGAAATTAAAATAACTGTAAACAAAAAATGAAATTTAGCAGTCTATTTTCACTCTTCTCAACGGAAAAAGAGGGAGGAGGACACCTAGTAAATCATTAAAAAGCTGTGTTTGCTTTTCCGAGTTACACATTGAACTGCAGTAGCTGCCAGCAGGGTCCTTCTGCAACTCTTGCTTTGGACTTTTATTTAGGTCCTTTACATACCTGTCAGCAGCTTCCTTGCCTGCTGGGAATTTTGTTTGGTTCACTGGAGCATAATGACACCACTGTGTCCCTGAGGAGACAAACAATGTGTCTGCCACTGGAACCAAGAAAAGTCTCCTAGCTTCTGTCACAGTGTAGGGTCTGCAATTTAGGATTGATCCATGCTCATAACAGGCACAAATCATGGTCAGTTGATGCAAATGTCATACCCACATGTTATATTTTCTTTCAGAAGGGTTTCTTAAATTCATAACATCCAAATTTTGGCATGCTTCTGGAGAAGGAGATTCTTGTAATGGATGCTAGATAAGCTGTGTAGTTTCTTGTGCTCAGAAGATCTGTTCCAGAGGGTTCCCTTCCTCCCCAAAAAAGGTGTTCTTTTTCACAGCTCATGGACAAACACAAACACATATACAGGGAGGCAATGGGGATACTTGACAAGGAAATCTTTTTGTAAGAGCAATAAAAAAAATGTGGGGTTTTATCAAAGGGCAATGAAAAATTTCTGACAACCAGAAATAGTTACAGTCTTCCCCTAAAATGCTTAATAGTGGTGTTTAAAAACAACTTAAGGAAACACAATACATTTTTGGTCTCATCTTTCAAAAGTTGCAGCTGGAGCTGCATTTCCTAATAGGCTTTGTTAGGTCCTGTTTGTTTCTTATGTTCCAGCTGACCATTTTACAGTATGCTACAAAGGGACTTTTCCCTTGGTGCTGAATTCTTCCTGTAACAGAAGAGAAATGTGAAAAAATTGAATTAGTAGTGGCTGAGTGACTTTACAGAATCTCTTGTCCCTGATCATGTTTATGGTTAGTGAGCAGGCCCTGATAAACTGGAGTGAAACAGGGGATGGGATCCATATCACTGCTGAGGCGATACGTGCCTCTTGGGAAGCAGCCCTTCATAAATGGTGTCAAGTGGTTTTATTGGCAGCCTGTGCCCAAGGATGAAAAGGGAGATGGGCCAGACCATGTTATTGTACAAGTATTTAAGTCCTTAACATTTTCCTTGCAGAATTCCAGAATATTGGCAAAAAGACAGATGTTTTCATTTTTACTGTCTAGCTTCAGACGTGTCTTGTGGGATACAGAATTGGAATCAGGGGTCTAGGAATAGTTCTTGTGCCCTCTGGCTGGAAGTTAGTTCAGGTAAAGCAGCAGACCCATCTGATCAGAGGGGAGGAGGTAGACATTAAAGACAGCCAGGCACTCATGTCTTCTAGCATCTCAGGGAATAAATAAAGCTCAAACAGGCTTTTTGTTCTCATTTACTCTTGGCAACAAGCAGGTTAAGTTATAGCACTCTTGGAGTGTGGATGTTAATCTCCTGGGCTGCTAATTCACTTCCTTGATTTACTTGCTGGGAATTTTTGTCATTTGGGAGGGAGGTAAGCAGGAAAAGAGGGACAGGAAGTGGAGGAGGAGAAATGCCACGTTTTAGATGTGGTGCTTCGTGCACAGGTAGAAATTCCAGCCAACTGCTTTAGAAGCAAAATGTGTTACCTCAACTAGTGATGCAGTGCTGGGAATTAGAGCTATTGTACAGCCCTGGAGACTGCTTTATTTCCTGAGTGACTAAGAGACTTTTTGGTCAGACTCAGGAATGGTATTTAAAGGGGATGTGCACGTGTGCTACAGATTTCACAGCTTGCTTTGCACAGAGAGTTTGGCTTCCTTTAAACAGCAGGCAGACATCTGGGGGCACAGAAGTGTGACAGAAGAGAGCAATAAGCTGCTGTTTTGTTGGGTTTCCACATCTTAGCTGGGTGGAAATCTTGGTGCTTAGAATTTTACTTTTGCAAAATCCATGGGAGGGAAAGGCCCTGACCATGGGACACTGTGAGGGAAGTGAGGACTGGGGTAGGAGGCACAGTGTGACCAGCCATAAGTGGAGCTGCTCCTTTGGGGGATTTGGTATTTGTAAAGTAGTAGCCTTTCTTACAGCTCTTCTCCTGTGTTTTTTCCTCTTGCTCTGTGATGAGACCAGATGGGTGTTGCTTCAAAGGAGAGTTGGACACCTGGAGAAACCATTTCGGATCTCACTGGAATATGTTCCTAATGGGAACAAGAGCATGGCAGCCGTGGATTCCTTCGCCATGAAGAACTGCAGTTCAGGTAACAGAGTATTTTATTGTTTCTAGCTCATAGTGCTTTGATGCCTTTTTGGAGAGAAGCACGATTTCTGACTGCTGCAGATGCCACAGAATGAAAGGTTCTTGTCAAATGAATAATTTAAATTTTAAAAAAATAAAATTGGGTCCCTCTCAGGGAAGGATCTTTTCTAATGTTGCCTTAAAACTTTCCCTCAAGAAGTTAAAAGCGAGTTTGTTGTTTTGGTTTGGTTTTTTGTGGGTTTTTTTTTGGTTTTTTTTTCCATTTGGGAAGAATAGATATGAAAATTTAATTTTGGGAGAAAAGAAGCCATATTAATCCTGACTTGTCAGATGCATATCCTGACAACTTCACTTTTCTGCAGCAGAAAGTAGAACAGATGAGGGGTTCCCAGACAGACATCTTGCAAGCCATCTTTTTTTAATGATCATGGTTACAAATTTCGGGGTTGTTTTTTAAACAACTGTGGAAAACTTGATTCTAATAAAGTATGCCTTTATTTGGCAATGTTCCAAAGCAGTTATTGCTGAGCAGCCCCTAATAGCTTCATGTAATGTGTGGAATTTTAATAATGGGCCACCTAAATGGGGGCTACTTCTTTAAGTAGAAGCTATGTAATCAATCCAAGTATGTAAATTCACTGCTCTGTGCCAGAAGCAGCTGCATATTAGTTCTACTAGTTTTATGGACTCTGTGAATCATTCTGAAATCTTTAGGTGGCGTGTCAGTGAAGAATATTACTACTTATAGCTCTTAACACATTACTTTTTGTCCATTTTATTTATTTGGAGTAGTGCTGAGTTGAGCTGCATGTCCTTCCTTTCAACCTCTCTAGGACAGGGAAATGTGCTGCAGAACATACATTATTTTGGTCATTTACCTTGCTCTCCACAAAGGCCAGTTGTATGAAAGGATTTATTGCACTGTTTGTACATAAAGGTGCTCTCTAAGCTCCAACAAGGAGCAGCCTGACATTGTGCTGGAAGCAAAGGCATGTTCAGACAGAAGGTGCCTGTTCTGCTGCTGGCATAAGGACACAAGTCATCCACAGTGCTTTGGGAATTCAGTGCAGCAGACTGTGGGCACAGGAACTTCTGTCTTGGGAGCGCTCTGGGGCGAGCCCGAGGTGCCGGACTGGGAGTTCTCACCAACAGCAAGCAGCCCTGTGCAGATGATGGATGTCAAGGGCTGAGGCCATTTAGATACATTCTGAGCAAAAGAAGGAACAAATCTCCCATTTTGCCTGCAGATTTGTAGCAAACAGCTACTCTTCTGCCCTGCTTATAGGACACAGTGTAAGAACAATGCCACCAGAGAACAAAACCACTTGTTCTTTTATTTTCAGTTGGTTTAGGTCACTAAGCCTTTTGTGTACAGCTGAAGATGTGGCAGTGTACTTTTGCAAAGAAAGAGGTGGTGATGAGCAGCTGAGGGTGACACCTTAAGCTTGGAGAAAATAGGGAAAGCAATAAGAAAAGATTAATCTAAATCTAATTTTTCTGCAGCTGTTAGAAGCCTTTGGGCAGCTTAGCTACTTGGATACCTTAATGCTACTGAAGCACATAAAACATGGTTGAATTTGAGAAAGAAATATCTAATAAATAGAAACATGCTTTCAGCCTGATTTTTCTAAGCCTTTTGAAGACCATAAACACAATTTTAAAATAAATTAAGGTGTACATACAGTCTTAGGAAGTTAGGCTACCATTTCCATAGGCACAGATATAGAAAAATCACATAATATGCTGAGTTGGAAGGGGCCCATGAGGATCATTGAGTCCAAATCCCAGCCCTGCACAAGAATCACACCATGTGCCTGAGAGCATTCTCCAAAACTTCTGGAACTCTGTCAGGCTTGGTGCTGTGACCACTGCCCTGGGGAGCCTGTTCCAGTGCCCAACCATCCTCTGGGTGAAAAACAACAAGGGCTTGAAGAAGGTCGAAATTTGAGGTTGAAATTTGCTTTTGCATGTTTGGTGATTCCATTTTTTTGAGTTCCTTAATCATAGAAAAGATTTTGCATAGGAAAAAATATTTCATCTGAACTGAAAAATAACAGTTTATATGGGATTGAATGGGAAATTAAAACTTAAGGAGATTCTGATGCTGATAAAATTCTGAATTTTTAAAAAATTCAAAATCAAAAAAGTCTAGTTAATTGTCACTTGAATATCTTCACATTTCCCAATTCCCATAATAGAAGCAAAGTTCTTACAGCCTTTTCTCAACCTTAGAATTCGAATCTGATCAGAGAGCCCCTACAGTCAATACAAAGACTGCTTGTACTTCTGTGGGTTTTGTCTCAGGACAACTTACAGGTAGCGTTGCCTGGACTGCTGCAACCAATTGACTTTCAATTACCGACTTAAATGTGAAGCAAATTGTGTTTGTCAGTGTGTAAAACCTAAGCTATTGATTGCCTAATTCTCTTTCTTACAACTCACTATTTAAATAAGTGCAGTAGCCAAAGCAAAAAAAAAAAAAATACAAATTGCAGAGAAGTAATATACTAATTTAATAACATCAGTTAAGAAATTTGTTACTTATACAAGTAAAGTAATGGGTACAGTGGCATTTTATAGTGGATGGTAATTTCTAGTAATAAAAATAGAGTTCATTTCCTAAGTAATATATTGACTTATTTATGATATTTAATGGGTTTCTTACTGATTTTTTATTGCAGCTGTAAATTAATTAATTTGTTAACTTATTTCCAAAAGTCTTAATTAAAGTACTTATTAGCAGGCACAAGTAAATGACAATACATTGTTTTACTTAGCAATGTTCGATTTACCAATTCTAAGTAAATTTTTACCTAAGGGGCATGGAGACCAAATGCTTCTGAAATGTCTTAAAGCTTTAATGATGCTCCAGGGCTGTTAAAAGCAGTTATTTCAGACACTCAGCCTGTCCAAGAGGAAGCACTTAGCTTTCAAGTTTTCAAGCTCAGTAAGCAACATAAAACCATTTATTTTGGAGAGGGGAGAGACCGTGTGTTGTTGGTTAAGTTAATGCTTCTGTCCACTCAGCAATTGCCTTTTTTCAGTAGACACTGAAAGTACACAGAAACACACATTACCTTTGGAGCTGGTAGGCAGTTAGTTCTGTAATGATCTGATGCCTGTAATATGTATGCAAATTTCTGAAAGTTGGAGCTAAGGTTGTAATAAAGGCAAAATCCTTGATCAAAAGCACAGGACCTCTCAGGAAAGAAAAATTTTGAAGATCGGGAGGTGATTTTACTGAAAGAAGAGAGAGCAAAGGAAAAGTAAAAATACAGACTTACAACACATCTGAAGAAATATGATCAACTGCCAGATAGAATTTTTCATGATACCACTTGATAAATATTCTAGCAACAGATTTATGAATCAGCTGCAGGAGATCAATAAGGGCTTTCTCCAGACAGGATTGCTTATGCATCTGAATCATTACTAAAATGATGTTTCTGTGCATTCAGACAAAACCAGGATATGTATCATTTCAGTTTTCCCACATGCTCTCTTTTTGCAGTTTGTCTTATAAATTAATTCGATGACAGGATGTTGTGGTTAACTGAACTTAATGAAATAGCAGTGAGCCCCTTTTCAGAATGAGTTCTTGATGCTTCCTATTGAAAAATTGGCTAGAAAAGTTAACCTCTTCCCAACAGAAAACTGAGATTATATCAGTGGATGAGAGAGAATCACAGAACAGGCCAGGTTGGAAGGAACCTCAAAAGAGAATCTGGCACAAATTTTTGTGTGAAAGGGGGTGTGGGGGAGATTATCTAGAACCATGAATCTTGAAAACCTCCAGTGATGAGGCCTCTACCACATCCCTGGGACACAGCAACTGTGTCTTCTCACTATAAAAATAATTAAACATACATTTCAAATTGAAGCCCCACATGACACACAGTTCATTTAGATGTTAATAATTATTTGAAAAAAGTTGTATAACATTTAAGTAATTTTCATTTGGGTAAAATTGCAAGACATTTACAGAAGTTTTCTTAAGCCATTAGATTAATTGTGACAATAGTTTATGTTTCATTATTTGCTATTTGTATTTATGGGATGAAGGGGAGAAGGTATGAACCTTCAGTAGAATCAACCATGTCTGGAGATCCACTTCTGTCCAGAAATACAGGGGGACGGGTGAACAGAACAATGAGCAGTCAGTATTTTGTCATTGTTATAAAACTGAAAAATAAACATGATTTAAAAAAGAAAAGTAATCATAATTTCAGAAGTAGCTGTCTCTATCTGAGGTTTAGGATTAACATTTACCATAAAATTACTTGGCCTGTTCAGGTAATTTTTTTGTAAAAGAAGCTGGATAATTTCCTTTGGCATTAATGCCTTGGTTAAGAACCTTACCAAGCCAGAGAAAAGGTCCAGAGCTAATTGAAACCAGCAGGATTATTCAGTATGTTGGCATTATGTTTCTTCATTTAAAAAAAAATAAAATTAGGCAGACTGGCTGCATTTTCCATTGAGAGGCCTATGCTATTTATACAGTTCAACTGGTCTGGTTTTCCTGTGGGTCTAATTTCACTAAGTAGGCATTTGGAAAAGCCGTACTATTTTAAGAGTATTTGCCTCCAAATGCTTTGGCGACCACCTTCTTTCCCTATTCACCTCTGCTCCCTCATGAGCTATGACTGATTATTCTGACTTCAGCTTGTGTGCCAAAAACTATCTCTAACCTGCTTGTGTTTTAATCCTGTAGGGATCTTGTGTCAGAGAAAATACTGCTTTGCAGATGAGGGTGGTGGCTGTAGTGAAGTTAAATCATTTTAAAGTCATTCTAAAGTGAAAGTTATTTCACTTGTGGTTTGTGCCAATTTAAGTAAAATAAATTTAATGAACTTGTTATGGGGCTTATCTTTGTTTTCACTTTCATCTTTTTAAAATGAAGCTATTGTAATGCTAGGAATAAAAAAAAAATTAAGCAAATTTAGTTTTAACATTGCTTCCAGAAGAGGCACAGTAACTCAATTACTGGTAGAGTAGCTTCTT